AAGAAGAAGAAGAAGAAGAAGAAGAAGAAGAAGAAGAAGAAGAAGAAGAAGAAAAAGCTTCGGATTCGCTATGCGTTTTCCCTCTATTACCTCTGCCTGTCTTAACCCCTCCTCCCATCCCCACACCCTCCATTCCTCCCCCTCCCATCCTCATTTTTCACCCCCGCAAACACAGATCGACTTTATGATCAAGCTGCGTCGGAAACCTTCTTACTACGTCAACGTCATTTTGATCCCGGTCATTGTGACGTCACTGCTGTGCATCCTGGTCTTCCTCCTCCCGGCAGAGTCAGGAGAGAAGGTGGGCTACTCTCTGACCATCTTGTTGACCTACACCGTCATGTTGACCCTCGTGGCTAGCTACATGCCGCCCACCAGCAAATCTACCTCCGTTCTGAGTAAGTGTGGTTATTGTAATTGGTCGCTTTTAAGGACAAGCGGGCTAACCCAGATTTCAGGGGTCTCCAGATATCTTGATCTATACCAAACGTGGGCATTGCTCTATCTATCGGAGAAGTTTGGTTTCATTGGTGTGTATATTTATTTGTTTATAGAGAAAACTCTCCTTTTTTTGTTGTTGAAAGAAACTGAACAAGGGGCAAAAACTTTACCTTCGATTTTCTGAAAACAGCATTTTTCGGGATAGCCCCCCCTGTGCTCAAAAGCGACCAATTGTAAATGTTGTATGCTTTCATAGAGACAGTGCGCTCCTCTAGCTAAGCTGGTATCATGCCTGGACTGTGAAGAGGATGACCCTGGTTCAAGTCCCAGACTGTGATCTCTTGAACTTGAGTCGTTTTGTAGAGTTTTTAAGGCTCCCAACTCATTTGCCTCGGTTCTGTCAGAGACAGACGTTGCATTCGGAGAGGTCCCTCCTCTCAAATAATCTAATAGTGTTGATAGGGGCGTAAACCCATACACATACTTCCTTCCTTAATTCCTTCCTTCCTTCCTTCCTTCCTTCCTTCCTTTCTGCCTTCCTTCTTTCTTTCCTTCCTTCCCTCCTTCCTTCCTTCCTTCCTTCCTTCCTTCCTTCCTTCCTTCCTTCCTTCCTTCC